TGGTTGTTCATTGTGGTGGGATGGGGTTAGTGTGTTGTACTGGTTTATAAATCTTAGAAGTTCAGTTAGACCGACAGTATAGCGTGTGGATAAACGGTTTCGTCCCCTGCGTCGGGTGTATCAAGTTGGTTTCATCCAGGATCGGAAAGGGCGGGAAAGCAGTCTTTAGTGGCACTTTTCTGTTTCTATGTTACCTATTCTAGAAGTTCTGTCACATACCGAGTTCTTCTGGATCCATTATAGTATAGTTTTTGGAGGTCTTGTCGTGGAGTAAATTACGGTTGTATACTGACGACCGACATTTTCATGTGCCAAGATAAACAGTGTTTGTGACCTCTCAATTTTCATTTTTTCCATCACTTTAACACAACCAACGAGGTCACACGACACTAAGCCGATATGTGGCGGGCGGCGCCAGGGGGGGGGGGGGCATGAGTGCTCAGTGCCCAGGGGCCCCTGGAGGTACTAATCCGGCCTTGTATTTGACCATGTGGAAATAAGAAATATTTTTTTGTTTAATCCTCAATTCAGATCTGACGCCTTGAGGTTTATACTCCTGGAACTATAACAAGACACAGAGCACGAGACTTGAGTTTTCAGTGATAATTTAATCATACAAACATTCATCAAACAAACAGGGGGAAAAAGCTGTCATCTGTTTGCACTTCCTCACTCTCATCAATGTGCTGTTGTATGAGTCTAATGCCAACTGATTCATTCTGCAATCTGGCCAGCGGAAACCCCAGAGAGACTCAGAACTAAATATCATACTGATGAACTGGCATCGAGAGCCTGCAGGAACATTCATACCGTGAACACGTGGTGTAGTATTGTCCTGTTGTCAGAGCGCAGTAACCCTGGGGCTTAATAACAGAGGGTTTACCTGGAGAGGTGGTCTCACACTCAGGCCGTAGATGATGAGATAGCCACCGAGTCAAACCCTTCAGGACATAACTGTCTTTGTGGGGCAGAGACAGGCCTTAACATGGACACTTAGTGCAAATTGATATGCAGTAACAATGCCAACAGCAGTCTGTCACTGGTGCAGTTCAGTTTGCACCTGAAACCATCAACAAGGATCAGATGTGTTTAATGAGCTCGACTATGAAGTACATTGCAGACTCTAATGTGGCATAATGTAAGCATCGTTTTAACAATAAACAGGGATATTCGGAACGATAATTCTACTCATAAAACGGCCACTTCAATGCAAATATACAATGTTGTATCTTTGGGTAAATGAATGTTTCCAAATAATGATCTTCTACTACATTCATCAAATACATTCAACTTAATATGATAAACTCTACGACAGCTTTTCAAATCGAAATTCAGAATAGGGTGACAAAGAACATTTCTGTTTTTTTATGAAGTCGTGTTTTTACCGCTCTTCATATGGCTTGGATTCAATGTCGTATGTCATAGATGCTTTATTCTCTTATCTTGTGTTTTATTTCCAAGCAAAACTAAAAAGCTTAACACAATAAGAGGGATTTTTTTTAAATACTGCATCATATTCTGCAAATATTCTGTATATGAATATATATAAAGTACCTGACTATAGAAGGCATAATCAAAATGGTTGGCTCCAGATCCAGAAGAAAATGTCTGTACAATGAGGCAGAATAAACTTAAGATATACTGTAAATATCTGTTTCTCTTATTTTCTGTTTGATAGAATAATGTCTCGCTCCCCCCCAGTGGAGGAAATTGCATCGCATTTCAAAATTGTAGGTACTATGAAAGCATCAAAATGATTGCCCATAATGCACAAGCCATGAAGGACCTTGAGATGTATTTCCATAGCATGTGGCTGTCCCCCTTACTCTAAAGTGGATATTAAAAGATAAAAAGTAAATAAGGAAATCCAATGGTTGGTTTCAGAGATGTCCATATTTTTTTTGATTTAGTTACAGGTCCAGAAAGAATGAATGAATATATCAAGAGTCAGAGCAGAAACTGGAGAATCAGTTGGCAAAATAAATGGCTTTTCCTCCATAGTCTCTCTTTCAGGTTGCACAATACACACACATGCACACACACACACACACACACACACACACACACACACACACACACACACACACACACACACACACACACGCAAATACGCACGCCCGTCATCATTATTTCATTTGCACTCTGACAACTAAAAATCTGAAAAAAGAAAAAGAAAGAAGTTATCACTCAAAAGACTCATAGCACTCATTTTTAACTTAGCATTCACACGTGCATACAGTGAGTGGTGGGATGTTGTTGAGCTGCACGTCGGAGCGTTGGCCTCTGGTTTCTCAAAGTGTAGCTGGTCTTTGCATAAAGTTTTTTTTTTTTGAATCTCCACACTCTTTACCAGCTACTGATAAAGCATCTTCTTTCGTGTATTGGTGTGACTCCAGAGGTTCAGTGCTGCTTCACTGTGACAAGTCCCAAGATTTAAGAGTGCCCGAAAGGAAAAGGCTCCTGTATACCCTGTAAGGAAGAGAAATGATTACAAACAGACAGTAGGATCATAGAAAAGTGGATAAATGACAGCTAACATTTCAACAAAAGCGGCCTCAGTAGTTTTTATTTGCTTCAATCGGCCTTCCAGACCTGCTGTTCTCCACCTGTCCACCAGGTGTCCTCTAACTGTCCAATCATCTCCAGCTGCTGACACAGCTGACGCTCATGATCTCATCAGTCAGTCAGTATATAAAACCAGCTCACCAGCTCTTTGCCAGTGAGAAACTTGGAGGAGCTACTCCAGGATCACTGAAACTACTCGCTTTTGTTATTACTTAGTGTGATTTTGCCATATTTCAAAAATGTTTGAGACTTCCTCAGTCCTCTGTTAGCGTGGCCTACCAACCGCTCAAGCCTTGACCTCAGTCAATGGAAACACTCTACTGAGCTAAAGCTAATTAGCAGCAAGATGCTCTTCTCAGATGACTACCACAAACCTCTATCAAAGATTGCAGTGCTTGAATAAAAAATGCACCGGTTGGAAGTGAACATGGACGTGAATGGACTATGTGGGAACGACACCACTTCACCAATATTCAAAGAGTGGACAGTGGACACACGGCTAATGAGCAACATCATGACGGCCATGGAACAGGAGGGCTGTGCACCAGGTAATACATCTAATGGCGCGTTTCCACTGCAGGGCCTCGCTCGGCTTAGTACGGTATAGTTAGGCCTTGTTAGGACTGGCTCACTTTATGCTGCTTTTCCATTAGTTTAGTAGCTGGGGCAGTAACTATAGTAACGCAGTGTAGGTGGAGGTGAGGTCATCTTCAATGCGAAACACAGAAAACCAACATCAGCCGTTAGCTGTTAGCACTCAGAGCTCACAGCTCCTCATATCTGTTCAGAAACTAGACAAAAGTACAAACCACAGACCGTCTGTGTCATGGCGAATACAGGCGCTGGTTTATTTCTGTCTGTAGGCCGTTGTTGTGAGTGTGGACGGTCGGAGCATATACTGCGTTAGCTTAGCCGATCTCCATTCAGAAAACACGCATTTTAAAAGGTTTTTGCCTGCCGTCTGTCTGCAGACTTGTCAAAGCATTAATGCATGGTTTTTACTATCCGGTATCAGTTTGTTGTTACTTCGGCATCATTTTGAAACGTGTGTTACAATTAAATCACGGTCAAATATGTTCATCTTGTTGTAGTTGTAGCCCCCTTGCCAGCGATTCTCTCTAGTTTAGCATACTCAGCCCAACTCAGCCTGGTTGTTGGCCCAGAAAGAACCTCGATGTTATGGGGCCAGAAAAACTGTGAAATAGTACCCGCTAGCCGGAACTACGCCAAGTGGAAACNCTCTCGAGTTTAGCAAACTCAGCCCGACTCAGGCTGGTTGTTCCTGGCCCTTGAACCACGATTTTATGGGGCCAGAAAAACTGTGAAATAGTACCCGCTAGCCGGAACTACGCCAAGTGGAAACCCAACCTAAAACGGGCTGGGCACGGCTCGCTTAAACCGCGCTGTAGTGGAAATGCGCCATAAGTGAACCTGCTATCATCTGACCTTTCTGGATTTGTTTCCATTTGTGGACTGCCTTCTCGAGCCTGTCTGTGAACTTCTCTTCAAACATCATTTCAGTTAAACTTACACTTGAAGAGGTTGTGCTTTAAAAATGACTGCCTTTTAACTAAAGGAGAGAACTGATCCACCTGAGTCTTATGAGCAGTTTAGTTTTTAAATGTGGATTTACTAACTATAAATCTTGCTTTGCTAAACTGGGACAAGAACTAAGATAACAATGATTCCTTAGTGGAACGTAGCATTAGTCTTGTTAGTCAAAACATCGGAACATGGGAGGAATAAACCTCTTTGCAGCTTAATATGTTCAAGAGTATAAGCATCCAAATAATTATCTAATGTTGCCACCCCTGAGAATGTTGGATAACTTATTGTTACAGATTTCACCTCAGATTAATAAAAACATCATTTGGTATTCCTTTAATGATTTTAAATGTATGTTTAACGTGCATTCGAGAAATATCCCGATACTTGACGTTCTATATGTTGCAACCAGGTTCTAGAGCTAGAAATGTAAAGAAATCAACCACGATTCACATGTCTGGAGAACCCTCCTGCCTTACCTGGTTATAAGAAACTACTGATAGATTGCTTTGTAGACTGTTTGCTACTAGATCCACAGAGTTGTGTGAAAGTCCATTCTGATCTTGCTGCAGCTGGTTGGGGTTTCCCTGCCAATGTTCCTCTGGGCCTCTGTGTCCGCTGGCATCGTGCAGGCTGTTGTTGTTGCTGTTGGGGCACTTGCTCTTCTCTGGAGAGGCGAAGGGGTTGTAGTCGCCCTCCAGAGCGCGGTGAGGCTGGGTGTTGAACTCTGCTTGAAAAGAGGAAAGCTGCTGTGTGACGCCGAGGAGGCCTCCAACTTCCACACTCAGGATCACCCAAATGACATCTGTCAAAGGAAGCAAAACGCACGGTATGATACACAAAGCCACTAACAGTCTGCCACTCTCAAAGATGAACCTAAGTGTGTAAAGTTTAAACTAATGACCAATTAAGGATGCTAACGAGTCTGAAAATACAAATGATCCTGTAACATGTCAAGTGAAGCTGGACCACACACCCACAATATCCTCCAGGTCTGCAATTCTTCTCTATGAAAGTCACTAGGAGACTGATGATGTTAAAGTGAAAAATGATCTCTATGTGGAGTTAATGAAACATTAAGGCCAAGTATAATGTTTAATTGAGTATCCCTCTATAAATAGGCTTGAGGGACTTCCTGTTGGGATCCATCACACACATTTAAATTTGCAGGAGGACGTAAATCAAGTAAATGAATGCATTTCTTGTGTGCTGATGGGAAGGCCATTCAATCATTGGTTATAGTTTCCACTAAAGGAAAAGCACACCAAATGATGTCATTTCATTTAATCGTTTATTTGAAAAGGACAATGCACATTAATGAACACTTTAGACAAATAATGCTTCAAGTGTAAATATGCCGGCTTTGAGCTAATTTTCATCCGTAGTCGCTGACATACAACATATAAGAACATGACATTTTTAAACATAGCAAAAAATAAATACTTGATATGCAAAAGAGCAAGAGCAGCACACAAGTATTTACCACATAGCAGTACACTATAGCAGCAACGACATATTAAGTACAAGATGCGAGATGATACCCCTGTGTTAACCCGCTGTGTTACCCCTATCCTCCATGAACTCCACTGGCTCCCCATCAAACACCGCATTGACTTTAAAATATTACTTTTCACTTTCAAAGACCTCAACAACCTTGCCCCCCCTACCTCTGTGACCTTATCCAACGACACAACCCCACCCGTCGCCTCAGGTCTGCTGAAGCTAACCTACTGCAGCCCATCAGGACAAAGCTCCGGACCCGGGGGGACAGGGCCTTGGCAGCAGCCTCCCCCACACTCTGGAACTCCCTCCCCAGCCACGTCAGATCCGCCAACACTCTCACATCATTCAAACAATCCCTCAAAACTCACCTTTTCACTCTTGCCTTCAACTCCTAATCAACTAACCCCTTGCCCTTATTCCTCCTACCTTAGCACTTTTTTACTTTTGTTTTACTTGCTTGTAAGCGCTTTGAGCACCAGGAAAAGCGCTTTATAAATGTAATGTATTATTATTAAAGTCAAGAACTAACTTTATATATACAGTCTATGGTTAAAGTGCATTTAGCGGTGATTGCACGTCTGGTTGTTTCTCAACCATTCTTTGAGTTGTAGCACTTATTTTAAATAACAACCGTTGTCCCCTGCTGTTAACTACAGTGATTTGTGAAATGTTGGCAGCTTAGTTCCAACTACGGACTTTTATTTGTCAACTGCTGTATTCTTGTAGTCTATACAAATGTTTAAAAAGCTCAAGGTGACATAACCAAAAAGCTTAATTTTGTCTGCCTACAAGTCCAGAAACCAAAAATAGTCTGTTTGTAAAAGGGATATAAAAAAGCAATAGCCACAAAACCCACATGGAGAAGCGTGTGAATGTTTGGAAGTGTTGAATTGCTGAAGACATTATCAAAGTAGGGGCCAATAATATTTCTGTTGATAGACTAACTAATAAATTCCATATTGCAACAATTCACATTTTCTTTCTATTGTAAAGCTCTCTGTCCTCACCTCCAAAGTACAGTCCGGTGGCTGTGCACATCCTCCACTGGCCCTGGTACATGCCAGGAGTCGCAGGGCTCTGCATCTGAACACTGACATCAGCCACCTCCTGAGGGTCTAAAGACCGCGCCATCACCATGTTTACATGACCGAACTGATCTCCTCCGACATACTTCAGGCAAACACCGGGAGGCCAGGACTCTGGACCTGGAACACACACAGAGAATGTGCTGAACTTGGCTTGAAATGTGAGTCTTATTTATTTTTTTAATTCATAAAGCTGGTGTCACCTCTGATCTGTTATCCCAGCAGACTCACCTGTGTTCTGTACTCTCCAGGTCTTTGTGAAAGGTGTGTCTGGTGGAACTGATTCTCCCTCACCAATCGTCACGTCACTCACAAAGGACATGCACGGCGCGCTGATGTTGGGACTCTCAAAGTCATAGTAGGCTCCGATGGCTGCTTGTAAATTCCTGTGACATTAGAAGACAGAAATCCAGGTGATCAGTACAGATATAGATTCTCAATATGAGTATAACATATGATTTGTTTAGAAGAAACTCCATGATTTGTCTGCAGTATGCACAGATATGACACATTTAGTAGCTAGTTTATTTACGACATTTTCAGCACGATAAAATACGTTTATTTAATAAGGATTACATTCCAGCATATCAAGGGTTTTACTGATGCGCCCTTTGTTTGTGAAATGTAGGTCATATCTTTTATTAATCAACTTTTGGTCTATAACTGTCAAACAGTGAAAAATCACAATTTCCTTAAGCCTAGTGTGAATTCTTGATATAGCTTGCTTTGCCCAAACACCTTAAACGCAAATGTATCCACAAGCTACAATAACATTAATCCAAATCCTCAGAATATATCCAGCACATGAAGAAGTTTAGTACATTTCTGCACTGAACAATACAGCTATTCAATCTTTAAAAAAAAGCATATATTGTACATGTAATGGTATGTTTTTATACAATTATTTACATATTTTTTTCTGTTCTATAAAAATGTAATTGTCAACATTATTTCTAACATTTAACAAACTATATCAATAAATGGTTTTAGTCCTATACCCAGGAGTCTTAGCTATATTGGTACAGTTTACTGCTAAACAAAATGGAAGCTGTAGTTATTCAACTCTAATTTAAACAAATGATTGTCTTCACTCAAATTACTAGCCACTCAAATTGGAAACCACAAGTACGCACGTTATGGTACTATAATACTTTTATATAAAAAATAATTTGGCATTTTTGAGATTAGGTTGGTGCAATATATTGATGTAAACAGATGCCTGCCGACCCAGATAGATTGCGAATGGGGGCTTCCCGTGACATGCTGGTCATCCATAAAGCAGCAGTTTTTATTTTTAGAAAGCCCGTTGCAGAGGAGCCATTACCCGGCGTCACGTGTTACTACTACAGCCTGCCCTGAGACAGTTATCTTCCATGGAGCTGCATTAGCTTAACACTGCATCTGCGCAGAGACATTTATCCAAGGCAAGACTTCAATATGACCTTTGCTTCCCTTGCGCATTGTTTTTCACTCGTTTAATTTAATCAGTGTCGCAATGGAAGACGCAGCTTGAGTGTTCGTAGTGTTTTATTAACACATTATAATACATTGTGTCCAGGGTTGCACAACAACCACTATGAGCACTCGGTGGGAAGGTTACGTAATAAAACAGCAGCGATCTCCACTGTGATTATCGTCGAGTGGCAGACATAACATTTGATCACCATGGCTGCTGATAACGTAAAGGTGTTTAACACAATAAGCAATGCAAAGACTGAGAGAATCAGTTATACACTTTTAATCATCAATTCAGTGACGAGTTCGGTGCCTAGCTTTGCATAACAGCAGAGGTGGAAGATCTTGTACTTAAGAAAAGTAGAAATACCAGAGAGTAGGAATACTCTGTTACAAGTCCTGCATTAAAAATGTTCATCCAGTAAAAGTACAGAATCGGCATCAAAATACACTAGTAAGATCGAAGTAGTCATAATGCATATTGCCAATTTCGAAATGATGTACTGTATGTTATTATAATTATATTGTATTTACTGCCGAGTGGTTTTTGAATTTAGTCCAGGTGTAACTAAAGTCTTAAGTGTTTATATTGTATATCATTAATCAAAATCTGCATAGTAACTTAAGGTCAGATCAAATGCCTGTAGTGGAGTAAAAGAGAAAGCATCAAATGAAGATAGGCATGGTGTTGTAAAGCAATAGTACCTCATACTTGTAAGTACAGTGCTCGAGTAAATATACCTGGTTACTTAACACCACTGCATAATAGTGATGGCCAACCTACAATTCCTGTTAGCAACCACCACATTCACAATAAAACACTTAATTTCCATTCAAACATCCCACCCGCTTTAATGTGAACTCGTTTGTTAGTTAATGTTAATGTTTGGAGTATCATTTTGCGTCACAATACCTGCTAAACTACCTTTTTACCGTCCCTAAAGGCAACCAAAAGTGGCAAACATGGTGACTCAGCTAACGCTAGTTACGTTACTACAGCGTCGTATCCACGTTACAAACCGAACGTAAAGCCACCCCCTCTGTCACAATGAACAAAAACACTACCTTGTGGTTTACTTTAATGTTTTAACCGATGAAATATAAGTTTTACTGTGAAATCCCCTTGTAGAAAGCTAGCTAGTTGACAGTAATATCTAGCATGAAGCGCACAGCAGGCCCCACGAGTCCCCGGGCTCACCAGTTGGTCATGTCCAGAAAGAAGGCGCATCCGGCGGGGTTGAGCTGGAAGCCGAGCAGCCTCTGAAACTCCGTGATTAAGATGTCTTTGTCTGTTGTTCCCATGCAGCTGAATTTCTGCATGAGCTCCTGGTCCAGGTCTATGTCCAGTTCCATGCCCTCCATCTTCCGATTCGCCCGGACAGAAACAGGGGCTTCGCTTCCTAATTTAGTCCGAGGCCTCGACTTGTCATAACAAACTCAACAACAGGGCCGAGTGCGCATGTCACATGATTCAGTTTCGCAGCTCAGCCTATCAGCCAGCAGAGCGGTGATGACCCTCTGGAGCCAGCCTTTAGGAGAGAAACTTTTAGATTAATCATGGTATTATTTTTGGGGTAATTATTACTCTATAATACTACGTTCTGTGTTGATTTATTATTTTTTTCAAAAACTTTAAATCAAATAAATGTAAACCCTTCAATAGTGTTTTAATGTCAGAGTTTATAGATCTACTGTAGGCCTATATGTTCTACTTTGTAATGCTGCTTTAATTCTATTTTGAGATGTTTATAATTCTAGTATTGTTTATTTCTACTCTTTAATTTCTACTTATGTGCAATGCCGTGTTTTATTAAGTTATTGCTTTTGTAATGCCTCTTAGGTTGTCTGTTTATCCGATTGTTTATCTTTAAAAAAACGAAACGTTTTTTCTTCTCACAATGTTCAGTAGAAAGGTGGATTTATGTTTTTTGTAAATTATTCGTGTTCCAAACACAACATATATATTTCAGTGTTGAACTTGTACTTTGAGTCCATCCACTTTATAAACAATAATAACTATATCCATAGTTTAGTTAAATACTTAATATTGTCTTTACTACTTGTCTTGATTATATTGGTTCCCCTATGTCACGTCTACAATGTTCACTATCATTCTAAAAGGTTTCGGTGTTGCCTTAATGTCACTTATTAGGGTTGAGTTTGATAAACTACAATGAAGAGATGGGGAAAAAACGATTATTGGTTGTAAAATATTGTGATGACCCTTTGCAGAATAATGTTTCTTTTATAATATGTTTCCAATATAGTATTTTTACAAGGGAAGAATGTGGTGTGTATCAGTTCAACCTGTTTAACGTGTTCAATACACCTCTACTACGTACTACATGGCCAGGTAAAATGTTTCAGGTATAGCCAGGTTTCCATCCCAAGGTATTTCACATTTAAACCGAACATTCAGTTGTTTTTTAATTATAAATCGTACCCTCTGAAAATGTGTTTGATCTAATATGTTTTTCTTGTGTTGCTCTTTCACATAGAACAGAGATGCCATTTGAAAAAAGGTTTTAAATAGATTAATTTTGCACTCAGATTAACTGATTTAATGTAGGTAATAACACACATCCACCACTTTATCATTGCATAATTGCAAGTATTATTAGCTTGGATGCAGAAGTAGTCGTGATTGCTGTGATTGTCTGCTCTGTTCTCCCCGCAATATCCAGCAGGTGGCGTCAATGTGTCGTTAAAGCTCTTGTGTTTTTTTTTTGTTGCCGTGTGTGTGTATTTGTCAGACAGAGAGAAGGGGGGGTGAGTGAGTTGCTGTCCGGCGTTTAGCGAGGTAGCAGCGGCTAGAAGGATGCACAGAGCTCGGGCTGTGTATAATAAAGAGGTGTCTGCAGGATAGTGTTTGTTTTATTTACTGCTGTTTCTGCACGACAAGGACGCCAGCAGAAATGGCCGGATTAATCAAAAAGCAGATTCTGAAACATTTGTCACGGTAAGTGTCATTTTTGGCGTTTTGTGTTAGCCAGTTAGCCCGGCTGGATGATGTTTTAACGTTACTGCCCAACACACAGCCAACCACAGTCTGCTAGTATTTGCTATCCAACGTGAAGCTAGCTACATTGATTTACACACTGGTTACCAACTAGTTTAACGCTACATGTTAAACAGCCACATGAGAATAACGTAATGATGAGTTAACTTGACAGGGACAGTGAACGCAAAAAACCCGTTAAACCTGAACGGGATACAATCAATTACTTTCACAACTGAATGCATGTGTTCTTAATACTGTTATGCTACAGACTGGCTTTACTAAGCTATATAAAATGGGCCTCACATCTGTCATTATTGTACCCCTCTGTTTACTTAGACACATAACGTTTAAGGGTCCAGGGCATCATAATTACTTTACAATAGAAACTTAAATGTCTCTGAAAGTAGCATATTAGATCATCATTATCACTCAACTCCATCCATCTATTTATAAGGTTACTATAGATTTCTTATACACAGTAAAGCTTAACACAATGCCACTTCCTCTAGGAGAAATACACATTTTCTTCATGGGTAGGTTATTAGAGGAAATATTTTAATAATCGAGCCTATCTAGTGCAAAAATGCTTTAATGTATTCATCCCCAACTCAGAGTAGTCAGTTATGTCCCTGTAGTCCCATCAATGTCATCATTCAGCAACATGTATTCAATCTGGCACCATAATGTACATGGGCATATTTTGTATTCCTGTCACCTTCAGCATCCTCTCCAGAGCTGACTGCTCCCCTTCTCTATACCTGCTCTTACTTCCTCTTTCTGTGATGCTGCCAAGACATGTGCATACTATGTTAGCTCCTTTTTAGGTTTTATTGCATCAGAAATGGTGAGCTGCTGTTAGTTTTTTTTCTGCTGAAAGTTGTTAAGAAATACATTTGGGATGGAGAGCATAGTCAGTATGTGTTGAAGGTGTGTCTTACTCCAGTTGGATGATCTTTTATTTGACCAACTCTTATTCTCCTTCCCTGTGTTGTCTCTGACACTGAATAATTAAAACAAAATTGTCACAGTAGGTCGGACACACTGGACACAGACTTGGTCAGTAGAAATGCGAGCACATAGGATTAAAGTTATTGAATTTACAGTCTATGCATAGATTCAGTTGGTCTTCGTGTAGCGTTATTTGTAAAGCAGGTACCCAGGATGTAGACAAGATCACATCCGATTTAATCCAGGCCTTCCTACATGCATTCTTATGGCTATAATGTCTATCTATAGTACAACGCCACTGTGTTAAACGTACAAACAATGGACTTCTCAAACTAAATTGACAATTTCTATGGATATTTTTTGTGTTAATCGGAAAAAAACGACATAGGCATTGTTTAATTGTGAAACCAAACAGTTTTACTTTAGGCAAAACTTGTAAAATGCACTCTTTCTTGCCTCAGATAAGCTGTGGGGTTTCTGTACTCTTTGAACCATGCTAATCTGAGTTATTAGTTTACATTGCTAGTCTTATTAAAAATAGCACAACTATTCAGTAGACTTAACTCCAACGTATGTCTTGATAATAAATACCACCAAATCGCTTTTTTAAAATCCTGCCAATCCAAAAGCAAGTGTATTACAATGCATAACGCTGCACGCCAGCTGTTTGGTATGTTGGACCTGTGAACTAGCTCTACACCTCTATGACTCATTAAAGGCCCTTAAAGTGTGGGAGTTAACGTTAAATGAGAGCAGCGGCCCATGTTTTGTTCACAAAAGAAGTGTTGAGATCTTATTTTATTGCTGAGTGTCGAAGAGAAGCTTAAGCTTCAACTGGCTTATCAGGCTTATCAAGTGAAGCCAAACAATGTTAAACGTGTCGACAAATTGGACCACATTTAAATATCGTCTCATCAGTTTATTTAATACCGTTAATCAATCTGTGCGCCAAACTCTGTTTAAAAAGCAGCAGGCTAAATGTCAGGCAAGAACAATACAGTGTGTCTCTTGGCTGATGTCTGAAATGTCATGGAGATATGCCAGAACAGTGTTCAGTCATGTATATGAAATTAAAATACTTGTCAAATTGATTTACTTCCATTGATGCTATATTCACCCTGTTTTGAGTTGGAGGCTGTTACCGGCTGTTGGAGCTCGCTGCACTAGCACCCTAAGAGAGGTTAACCAACACGGGAAATACAGCTGTGGCTCTAGTACGGAGCCTGCTGTGTTTTCTCAGGATGACTCATGCACTTGCACTGCTTTAGAAACATCTTAGCCAAGCTGCATAATTTTATTTTCTTTATTCCTGTCTCCTCGATCATCAGTGACGCACTGATGATGTCAGGTGTTTCCCTTAGTTAAAAATGAATGAAGCTTTTCCAGATTTAGGCTGTCAATGTTGACTCTGGTCTCATTTTCCTTAGGTTCACCAAGAATCTGTCCCCTGACAAGATCAACCTGAGCACGCTGAAGGGGGAGGGGCAGCTGTCCAACCTGGAGCTTGATGAAGAGGTTCTGCAGAACATGCTGGACCTGCCAACCTGGCTGGCTGTCACCCGGGTCTACTGCAACAAGGCCGCCATCAGGGTATGTTACTGTTGAGTGGTCTAACCTGATTGTGTAGCTGCTCTAAAAGGTGGGGCTGTCTCTCTTTTGTAAGACACAAAGCTGGTACAGAAAAAGTTCATAATTCATGTTTGTATTTGTCTATGGTTCTTTTTTTAAACTATACAAGGGTTTTCTGTTTATTAATGTCAGGAGCTTTGAGAGTTGTTAGAAAAATATCACTTGTCGCCGGCTTGAGCTTCAATATCAGGATACATGTATTTATTAACCTTGCAAGAATGGAAGTAGTCATCACATACAGAGCATATGGCACAACTAGTTCCTGAACAGTGTCCTTCACATGCTTATATACACTGTGACACAGTGACAGGATGGAGGAATACCGGTTCAAAGCAGTATACAATGTTTTGTTTTGATTAGCTAAGACCCACATCAGAAATGATCATGCTTGTCATATGCCTATCTCCATAGAGGCTGAATCATCATGTTAATCGTTGTCACATAGCTTTCATATGCCTAAAACAGTCCTGATGCTCTTCTAGGTAATCATACATCCTGTCATGTACGCAGTTACACTTGGGCCTTTGTTATCGTGTGCTACTCTGATATTGGAAGAGTACATTTAGTATTTTCCCAACAAGAGTGGTAGAGGAAATGAGCAGTGTCAGTACCACGGAGATGAGCCCTGCTAGAGGCACTGCTGCGGACATTATGATGCTTAGACAAGCACTGGTTATCAGTACTGGAGAGGCAAGCCGTGATTCAGAGGGACACAAAAGGCCAGAGGCTGCTGTGATCCTGGGATAAACTGGATGCTGTGCACTGGGCTGTCAGCATTAAGGATGCACGATAAGGCATTTTATTCAGCTGGTACTGTTAAAGCAATTACTACCTGGTTCACATGGCTGATCTAGAAAAAGAACCCATCATTTAAATTGTTGATTAAAAAATAGCACACTTGATTTAAAAGAAAAAGTGGTGTTTCAACCTGTCTATCTGTGTAGGAGGAGTTTTTACCCGGCTGACTCTGGGCAAAAACTCCTTTTTTAAAATGTATTAATGGAATTCACTTGTTTGTTTTCCTATTCCCATTGCCCCTGGCTAACCTCTACAAAATGTAGACCTATATATCCTGAAATGTTAGCTTGGTCTGTACTTGGCTGTTTATCAGTTCCTTCTTTTTATAAAGTATGATGTTGATTTTAGAAGTCTTGGCTCACCACCAGGTCAACATTTGACTTTTTGTTCCTGATGGATATATTTGAACTTGAATACTTGTCATTGTTAGTGTGTTAGCATGCTTGTCATAATAAAAAATGTGTGTTATTTAAATTTGAACTTGATTTGAAAGCAATGTCAAAAATCTCAGGAATTTCTTTAAACTGCTCCTGATATTCAAGCTAGGTCTTGGACGCAGGGTATAGAGGATTTGTTCAGCTCTCAGTGCTGTTTTTCTATCTATATGTTACTGTTTATCATCTTCAGACATCTTTAGGCACAACATTAGGTTTCATTGCTATGCAAGTAACTCTCTGACATAATCACAGTCATTTGGCTGCTTTCATTACTGCTTGGAGACATTCACTGCTTGAAGGCTAACGATGTCCTTTTGAAAGCTCTTGCAAATGTAAACGCAGTAATTACTAACCATTGTGATTCATTAGCCCAACATGTTGTCAAAGACTGCAACAGCTTCTTTGTTTTCTTTGTATTCTTAGATCATTTGGTCAAAACAAGCCCTTTTCTTAAAAGCTTTGGAACATCGTTACATTCGAAACACTCCTGTCTTCAGAAAACATGCAGTCCAGCCATGTGAAGACTGATCTATTAAATGTGATATTATGTTTTTGTAATAGTCAACACTTAAATGTCCATTACTGTCTTTTTTATGTTATTTATTTCCTTCCCTTTTTCTTCTCTTCGTCTAATAATGAATGCTTTATTTCTCTAATGCTGTCATTTGTAGTTTAAGTACATGGTAATAATAACTAAACTGATGATATTTGATTTGTTTAATAGAAATGTCAGTATAACTCTGAATAATACAGTGTGGCAGTTCTTGTCGTCACTCTTCATCACGTTGCAGGAGCTTGATGTCCACAGTGCCCTTGTGCCCTGTGAATGTTAAACAGTGCAGAATGCTGTGGCAAGTGTTTGTGTCTGACTCTGTGGACCTTGCTGTTCTGTCTTTCTAGATACAATGGACAAAGTTGAAAACAAGCCCCATCTGTCTGGTAAGAGCGATGTTATTTTTGTCCTTCTCCAGAGTTCTTGCACATTTCTGCAACACTGGGCCTCTCCCTTTTATCCCAAAATAACTTTGGCAAGACCCTGCACAGTTATTTGGCTGTTTGGTTATAGTTCTCAAGAGGCTGTGCTCTCTCTCCTGTTATCATGTTTGAATGTTAGTATTAAATCTGCACAATTAATTTAAATGTTATATCGAAATGGCAATATGGATTAAGTGGTTCCCAACCTGGGTGGCGCGCTAAAGATCGCAGGGGGGGGCGCCAGGACTCAGATGATTTGAGGCCAAATATCATATTTAGACTTTTTTTTTTTTGTGTATATAATTGTAACGCAATACATGATTGTCACTAAAAGCCTTGTCTCTACATTACAATATCATATACAAAATAATTGATTAATTAATTTGAATAAAAATTCAAGTTAGTAGCTATTAAAGGCATAAAAAGACAGAATGTATAATTCTTTCTTTAATAGAAATGTTTCTTCTGCCCGTAAAGTGTCCAAACCAGGCTTGTCTGGATAAGCGCATTTTTAAAACATAGTCATTGTCCATGCCGGTTTCAGTTGGATTATTTGTCACAGTTGCTCCGATCAGATCGGTCTCCTCCATTTTGTAGATTATTTACAACTTTTGAATCCACATAAACACATCGTCAAAATCCGGTTTACTTTGAGCATGTGTTTTAAACAGTTTAATCCCTTTGTGAATTGTTTCCACTTGCGTCGTCCTTT